GGGATCAAATACTTATTTCATTCATGAAAATGCAAATTAATGTATAACTTTTTTGTAATGCATTTTTCTGGATTTTTTTGTTATTGTTGTGTCTCTCACTGTTCACATAAACCTACCATTGAAATTGTAGACTGATCATTTCTTTGTTAGTGGGCAAACTTACAAAATCAGCTGGGGTTCAAATAATTTTTTCCCTAACTGTATCACCTTCCCCAGGAAATCAACCCTCATAAACCAAGAACTAAGCAAACAATTACACTGCATTACAGTTTGATAAATTAAAAGCCAAGTAAAGACACTGTCACATACCTTAGGGTCTCGTAAACCGGACTGGTCTCGTGGAGGACGGGAGGCACTCTGGCTGCGGGTTCTGGAGGTCGGAGGGGCCGAAGCTTCACGTTTGCGTTTCTTAGCAAGGCTGCGGGAGCGTCGGGCCTGTTGTACATAGTGGCTCTAGAAGTACAAGAGGAAACACTCAGTGTTTGTGCATGTTCCTGGGCACAGCTGCTCTCACACATTCCCAGGCTCTTCTTTCATGACATTTAGGATTCAAACTCACATCGTCCTTGTCATTCATGTCCAGACCAAGGTCACCCATCTCCTTCTCCAGCTTCTTTCTCTCCACCTGTACACATCAAAAATAAAAAAAAAACTTTGCAAATAGAACTGCTCAAAGGTTTGTCTCAAAATTCCCTGGATTAATTCTCTGGTGTTTGTCTCTGTCTTCATTCACACTGAAACTAAATCTGGGCTGCTTTTACCAAAAAAAAAAAACTTGGGCCATGTTGCTGTTGTTTTCCTCATATATTATGTAATATTAGATTCAAACCAATCTTTCAGAGCTTTTAAATCATCCATTATATGTCAGCTCCATAAACATTCGGTTTTTAAGGCCCCTTTAAATACTGGGCTACGGTCTATTAAACTTTGTAGAAGCAGCCCTGTTAAAAGCCCATCTTTGATATTTCTGTCCTTCACTTCTTGACCTGATATCGACATGACCGCGCTGAGCTTAACACGACTAACACCGCCAAACCCACTCCCCTGACCTTGGTGGCGGTCCTGGGCATGCGAGGCCCGTGCACATCCTTCTCCTTTGACTCCATGACCATGAGCTGCTTCTTCTCGCGGATTTGTCTGGCCAGGGCATGGATCTCCTGCATCTCTTCGTCCTCGCTGTCATCATCCGAGTCGTACTCCCCGGCTCGCTCCTTCAGCTCCTCCTCCTTCTCCAGTTTCTCCAATTTCTATGGCAGAGGGGGAAAAAAAACAACCTCCAACTGTTCCAGTGAGCCGTGTAAGAGGGGCTTCAGGTTCTAGCTGCTAACATGAAACAGATCCAGTTTTATTTAAAACCTTTACAAGGACCTGCCTCAAGAAACTGACACAGCATTTTGTGGTCATTAATTTGTATCAAAAACTAATATTGCACACACTCACCATCATAATTTCAGGATCAATGTAATCTGCAATGTTGTGTCCCTGCCAGACTTCAGGGATCTTATCATGCTTCTCATCCTCGTTCATCAGATCCCAGTATTCTGAAATGAAATCAAACAATATTAGCACTTACTTTTCAGACTCACAGTTGCAGCTTGATGACTGAAATGAAAATCTTCTTACTCTGTAGGTCCAGAACATAGTCATCACCAAGCTCCATCTCCAGATCTCTCTCCTGTGACATCAACAAATACATGTTGAATTAAATGGCAGACAGAGAATCCACTGGTGGAAGAAATACTCAGACCTTTTACTTAAATTTGCAATACCATGGTGGAGAAATACTTGTTACAATTAAACCTGCATTTACTACTCTACATCCTGCTGGGTACTTTGAATTAATCTGCATCTGCAAAAGTAATTAAAGCTGTAAAACAAATGTCATCAAGTCAAAAGTATCATTTCTGCTTCTGAAACAGAGTACAAGTAAAACAATATGGAAATACTCAAGTACAAACAGTTCAAAACTGTACTGAAGTACTTGTGTAAATGTACCTATGATTCTATTTATGGCTATTTTATGTCTGAAGTCAAGTCACTCGTACCAGTTTGCGTTTAGGTGTGTCCACCTCCATCGCCTTCCTGCGCAGCAAGGCTCCCTCTGGGATGAACGGAGGCCTGTCCTGGGAACAAACCAAAAACAATACAAAGACTTTATGAATGCCAGAAAACATCTTTATATATAAAAACAACAACAACAAAAAAACAAAACAGCTGCAGGATGAGTTCAGTGCATGACTTCTGACAGAGTCTGTGACTACATTCACCTTCTCGTCCCTCTGGGCGGGCATGGCCAGGTGGAGCCGGTTGAGAACATCATGGACCTTCTTGCCCTTCATCTTGGTGTCGACACGATGGGCGAGGAGCCGGTCACAGGCCTGGGAAACAACACAGTCAGGTACAATACTGCACACTTCAAGGAGTCAGCGTTTGAATTTGTCTATGTCTCGCTCACCTCGGTTTTAACCTGCATGACTCCCTCCTCAGTCAGAGTGCTGGTCTCTATCACAGGGATTCCCTCAGCAGAGAGGGCCGCAAAGATTTTCTGACAACAGCATAAAGAGGTTCAGATAAAGCTATAAAACCTGTCAGTAAGATGTCTCTGAATGAAAACACAGTTTGGAACCAGCTCTGCAAAATAAAAACACTACATTTTAGCTCATCTCTAACATCTGAATTCCAAAAAAAAGAAATTATTTAGCAGCAGTGGCTGCAGAATTCTGTCATTAGCATCAGTGAGCTTCACCTACCTGGTCCTCCTCAGACAGCTCATTGACCTTCTTCACGTCACATTTGTTGGCCACTATGATGAGGGGCTGCAGGGAGTGAGACGGCAGCATTACATCAACCAGTGGACTCTAAAGTTCAACACTGCTCAACCAATTCTTTTCTTGTATTTCTCCTCAGAGGGACCTGCTAAATGTGCAGAATACTTTGTGGATTCTTCCGCGGTCAGCATGGTTAGCTCTGGGGCTGTTAATAATGTGCTAGTTTTGTGATATGCAGCAAAGATCCGTGCTACACTTGACATAGGGATGCTGTGATTATGCAATAAAACTGTTAAAACCATACTGACATCTGACCTTGTTGGTGAACAGCGGCCGGATGCTGTTGAAAAGCTTCAGCTGCTCCTGCAGGGTGTGACCACACTGCTCAGAAACATCCATGACATACAGAACGGCCGCTCGCAGGTGAGCCAGAGCTGTGATGGCCTGCATCTCGATGGTGTTCCTCTCCTCCAGGGGGTGGTCTAGGATACCGGGTGTGTCCACCACCTGCATGCGCACACAGGTAACAGAAGAGTGGCCAGGTGACGGGAAAGAAAGTAACAAAATATGTGGCTGCACCGCCTTGATAATGGCGAGACAATAGGTGATTTGATTTTAACAGCCTGACATCACAGGCCACTGTCACTGCTTTAGCTTTGTTCTTGAAAAACGCTCCTACACACTAACCATCTCTACATGTTTTAGGTAAAGACACAGTTGAGTTGGTGACAATTTAAAATCCAGGGCCAACAATCTCAACATTTACGTTCACATTTTGTTCATCTATCGAGGAACATTTATTGAAAATCAATGTCTTTTAATTTTTGGGGCTACACGTGTTGAGATAAAATCATATTATGAATCAATAATACGTGCCATTATCTCAGTATTTGGTGAACAAAACAAACTGAAAAGACCTCGGTGGCCTTGTCTCTTCATCTTACGTGGATGTAAACTCCCTTGAATTCACGCACTGTAAGTAGTTATTGTCTGAAACAGGAGAACATGATTGGGGATGAGACATTAACTGGATTCATGAGCAGTTTACCTGCCAGCGGAGGTATCTGTAGTCCATGTGACCCACAAACAAAGACTTGGTGGTGAAAGCGTAAGGCTGCACGTCGACATCTGCTCTGGTCACCTGACAAACAACACCATTTACACCAAATTACATATTTAAAATGAGAAGTGGAGGCTGAAATACTCCAAACCAATGAATATGATCGCCATATGCGGACTTCAAAATGTTGCTTGCAACCCCTTCGGATGCATCAGCAGTATACACAGAAGTTTTCCATCCTGATCTTGCAGAGTTAACTCTGTGTGAAAAGACTAAAACTGACAAAACAACAAAACCCACCACCCACCCACTGGGCGTATACACAGCTGTTACACAAAAATAATATATTCTAAGGTGGCACCTACCTTGTTGATGAAACTGGACTTGCCGACATTGGGGTAACCACACAGAAGCAGGGTCCTCGTGTTGGGGTCAATAGTTGGCAAACGGGATAGATGCTGACGCACTATTGAAAATGAACAACTAAGATGTCAGTTATTTTCACATATAAAAACAGAAAAAGCAGACTTAACGACTAACACGGGCTTTTGAAAACCTCAGCTAAAAGAAAAAGACCATGACAACTAATTTTGGCCACTTTGAGGCCAATAGATATGCATTTTCTCCCAACTCCCCTGTAAAAACATTTCAGCCATGTGATGATAAATCTGTCTGTCACCTTGTTCCAGATACTCCAGACTCGACTTCTGTCGCTTCACAATGGTGCACATACGACCCAGAGCGGCTCTCTTCAGCTGTTTACACCGATACAGAGAATCTCCGTACTTCATCAGACGCACATAGTCTTTGGCAACACTACAGGGTTGGAAAAAAAACATACATGTTCACTTCTTTGATTCTCACAGCTGTCACAAGCCTGGCTTTTAAAACTGTCTGGCTTGTGTTATATTGCTTGTATTGTTAGATTTCACATTTCTCATGTTTTTCCCATTTCTCTTTTATAACTGACCATGTCAGGATCTCGTTCTACATATATATTTTTGGGAAATAATAGATGCAATTAAGCATTTTCTAGTGTTACTTCTCAGATGCTGGCACCAGCCTCTGTCCAATCAGAGCAGGAAACTGAAAACCTCATTTCAAAGTCAGCATATGGCTGTGAGAAACTCTGACACCATCGCTGCTACTTCACTTTGTCTTAGACCTATATGATTCTTAGTCCTGTTTTCTGTATTTAAATGTAGGAATTGCCCAGCTGAGAAACTGCATATATAACATCACACTTCCATTGCATTAATGATCATTAAAAAGACCAAAGACACAATAAGCGTGATTATGGACAAACTTACTTATCGATGAGATTCTTGGCGATGTTTATCTGCCCTAAGGCCAACTTGTAATGGTCTTTGTCATACAACACGTTCATCAGATCAGCATAGAACGGATGGATGTCCTGCAAAGACAAAAAAACCCCATAAATGTCACTAACAAACAGTCCATTGTTGGTGTCAGACATACGTGACATCTTGAAAGTGTGTTTGGACTTACGTCGAGCTTGGGGAAGTCGGCAAGGATCTGTGTGAGGCGATCATGGTAGTTCTGCTGGGTGAACTTGACCTTTCGCATGTAAAAGTGTCGGATCCTGTGGATTTGGTAATGCTTGTGTATCACTGTGGGTGTCTTCCTTTGTGTTTTGGATAAAGTGATGTCGATGAAATCCTTCAGGGAGGGGAGCAGCAACCAGGTTTGGAGTTTGGTGAAGAAAAGATGACAATCAACAGGCACTAATTAACATTTTATTTTCAGGAACACGTGAGATTAATTTTTAAAATTCTAATAAAATGTTTTGTAACTTTAAATGTCATGATTTGGTCTTGACTGGCTTAATGTAAAATTCAGTTGCCTTGGGTTATACAAGTTTATCACTGTAAAGTTCACTATTCTCTGAAATACTACGTGGCTGTTATTTGTAGGTCACATTTACAAATACTGTGGTATGCACTGGACCTGCTACCTAACATTTGTTAACAAAAGCATACAATTTCCTGTATTTTCACCCAGCAAAACCTCGTGTAAACTGTTTTTCTTGAGACTTCTGGCAAACGAATCTGTCCGTTTAATATATAATCGCCTGTTGACAAAAGCAGCCATCATAAAACAATGTTTTGTATTGCATCCCCAAATATCTCATATCTTCTTGTCCAGTCGGCATACGACTAGTACAGATCACAGCTTTCTTCTTGAGTGTCGAAAACCTTTATTACTTTACTCCCACGACTCGAATCGTAACATGGTTTTCACACACAGTTGGAGTAACAGGTGAAAAACATGATCAATTTGGCTTAATATGTTATTTCAGACACAAGCCTTAATATATGCCGCATTGAATAACACGTACAATTATTTTGTAGCATTACCGAAAAAACAGATCTTAAACTTCGAGATTTTCTGTCTGGTGCGTGACATACCAGGTCTGCTATGTCAGCAGGCATTTAAAGGGCAAGAAAACCTGTTTATCCCTCTAATGACCTTCACATTACACGCATAAAGGACTAGTTAGCTGTCTTCTCTCTGCTTTCTGATACAGATAATCATAACTAACGTTACATACACGGCCAGAAACCTGCGGCTGTCTCTTTACAGTCGGACAACACGTGCTTTCTTTCCCAGTAGAATCCCACCATGTTTTTCCATATTCTAAAGTCTCTCGCTGCTCAGTAACAAAGCGTGGAAAGCAACAGCTGTTTAAAATGCTAAGGACATAAAATAAAACTTACCTTGGCGGTGGGAACCACCATAATCTTCTTGAAATTATAAAGTGCCATTTTGTCGGGACACGTTGTAGTCCACTGACGGCACGGAAAAAGGAAAGATCGGTGTTCCGTTACTGCCGGAAGACACACTGAAAATACTGTTGTGAGTTGTTCTGCACATCGCCCCCTGGTGTCCGGACACAGACATAGCAATAACAAAACAAAAAGCGTTTCTGCACCGAGTTCTCCTTAGGTTGTAGTTTTGTATCTGTAGGACCAAACTGGACAATAAGTCATTATTTATTTGTATTCATATTTGATTTTTTACGGTGAGAAGAATTTATTTTCTCTGCTGAGAACTTATGCCATAACATAATTAATCACTGTAGTGAACTTAACTTTAATTTTTCTAAATATAACCTATATAAATATCATTTTATAGTAACCCTCCCGCTCCCACTTGCCTTGCTGCAGCTATACCTCTGTGTTTCCACCACCTGACCTGTGCACCTGCTGTTCAATGTCTCAGTAACATTTTAGTGTGCACCAGCCCGGCTCCTGTAATTTTCTGTTTATTTGTTTTTTGTTCACCTGATCCTGGTCCTTGCCAGAAGTGTTTGCCTTCTCTGACTCTCTGCCTGTTTCTAAATGTTTTGTAACACACAAGAGAGGCTGCAGATATCACTAAATCTGATTACATCTGTGTCTTACTGTCTTGTCAACATGGACTGTGTGAGGTGCGGCTTGTCTATATATACACACACACACACACACACACACACACACACACACACACACACATTTTCCATTTCAGTGTTATGTAGGCAAAAACATGGATGCAAATGTAGTTGTAGTTAATATATTGATAACCTAAACACTTATTACTGTTATTTATTGTGTTTATTATATGTTTTAATGTGTTTTATTCAGGATGTCCTCTCTCTCTCCCTGTACCTTCCTGCCCTGGCTCTGGAGCTCTACATTTCTGATGAGCAGTCACCGGTCACATCAACCTGCCCAGTGTTTGATTGTTTGTTGCGCCTTGTTGCTTTTTCTTTTCTCTCTCCATTCACCACAACTGGTTAAGGCAGAATGCCACCCACCAAGAGCCAGGGTTTGGTGGAGATTTTTTCTCTATTAAACTGGAGATTTCGTCCCCACTGTTACAAAGTGATTGCTCAACGGGGGTTTTAATAATAATAGTAATAATAAGGTATAGTCCTTGCTATGTAAAGTGCCCTGAGTTGATTTTTGTTGTGATTTGGCACTATACAAATAAAACTGGATTTAACTGAATCGACATAATGAATAACTGTAGTGTCAGCGTTTATGTTACATATACTCCCAGACAACTCTACTCCATATTTGTTGTGATCCGCGGTTATAAACAAGCGGCCAATCATCGGACGCAGATGGCCCTCGAACACACCCACTTTCTCTGATCACGAGTGCGTCCGCGTGCGCTCAATGCCGAGTTGCGACCAATCAGGACGGCCCGCTGTGAGCGCGAGGGAGGAGGCGTAGGATGGGCGGGAGCTCGAGTCCTGTATGACAGCTTCGGGTTGAGTGCTGCACTAGAGAGAAAAAAAGATAAAGAGGTCTCACTCTGCCGACCTGACAGCAGAAATACAAAGAGACATAAAGACAAAGACACGTAAAACAACTACAAGTTTTCATTATTTGAAACTCTGTTTTTTTGCTGCTGTCTAGGATTGGTGGGAGGCCTTGTTTATTAGGTACATTTAGCTAATATAAATTCAGTAATGCAACAGTCTTGCAATAAATCTTCATTTATTAAGGTGATAAGGTTCATTTTGTATTCAAACTGTTTTACAGATGTGTTGATTTAGATCCACAGAGGATGCAGTAGCCACAGCCCTTCACGCTGTGCTGTCCCACTTGGAGCATCAGGAGAACTATGCATGGCTGCTCTTTGTGGATTATAGCTCCACATTCAACACCATCCTCGCCCACAAACTGGCAGACAAACTGGTGGAATTCCATATTCCACCTGCATATGGATTAAGAGCTTCCTGTCCGGATGCAGCCAGAGGGTGAGAGTGTGTCCACACACATCCACGGCTCTCAGCCTCAGCACTGATTCGTGACAAGGCTGTTTGCTGAGCCCCCTGCTCTACACCCTGTACACCCACGACTGCACCCCCGCCCACCACAGCAACACCTTTGTAAAATTTACTGATGACACCACGGTGGTGGGGCTTATCTCTGGGGGATGAGACTGCCTACAGGGATGAGGAAGAACAACATCTCCCAGAGCCTGCTGGTGTCCTTTTATTGGTGCTCCATTGAGAGCACCCTTACATACTGTATTTGTGTATAGTACAGCAGCAGCACAGTGGCTCAGAGGAAAGCGCTCCAGAGGGTCATTAATATGACCCAGGAGGTTGTCGGCTGCCCTCTCCTCACGCTGGAAGAACTACACAGTTCCCGCTGCCTCAAAAAAAGCCCAGAACATCATTAAGGACACTTCACGTCCAGAAAGTTCACTATCTGAACTGCTGCCGTCAGGTAGATGGTTCAGAGCAATCAAATCAAGGACCACTAGATTCAAGAATAGTTTTTACCCAACAGCAGTTACCACACTCAATGCTGCTAAAATATAATATGCCTGTGTGTGTGGGGGGTGGGGGTTCTAGTGGTTACATTTTTTTATATGGTCTTATTACATATGTTATGTTTTTTTTTATTGCTGTACTGACTGGAGGACAGTAAAGGATTATCTTACCTTATCTTATCTTATTTAACTTTAAAATTTAGGAGACTGGAGTTTAGCCTAGCCTCACTGATTCAGATTTGGTGAACAAAATAATAGAATAAGTTTATTTATTTATTAGATTGTTTGTTTGACTTGTATTTGCTTTTCACGCCAACCAAATATATACTTTTCCAGTGGTGCCCAAATGTTTCCATACAACTACTTTTTATTGTGGCATTTGTTCTGAACTTTTATGACCATTAGCCTATTAAATTTTTTCAGGCCAATTTTTTCAGTTTTATTCAAGTTTTCAAATTTTCTCTCATTGTCTTTGTAATGACTATGGTGAAGGCTTTTTTGAGCGATTCTTCGCCTGTTTGTAGACGATCTTTGTGCTGCACACGAAAAGGAAATGAAACGGTGACTTCTCCATTCCGAAATCCCCCCCCCCCCTCATCTTTAGCTGTAACGAATGTTTGTTCGATCGAAATCCTTGAGAGACGTAACGTTTATTCATCGGTCTTCGGGTTTTTGGCTGGTTTTTGGCTTTCCCCTTATGTGGAGCCTGCTGTTCACCGTGGGGAATTTGCTCCATGTGAAATTCTAGGCGCCAGATTTACCGAGCTCGACTGCACAAAGTTGATAGGCAAGCTAGCTAGCCAGCCTACTAGCTAACTTTTAGCTAGCTTACTTGCTGACTAGCTTGCAGTGCTGGTCGGGGAGCTCAATTTTGTCAACGGTTTTCGGGGTGTCGTTTTGTCATTGTACAGAAACTGGGTGTGATTATTTTCCTGAAATCCGAAAATTGTTTTCGGTGAGGTTTAGAGTTGTAAGACAATTGTTCCTAGCTAGCGTGCTCGATATAGCCTGCTAGCTAATACCTCGCGTATTTATCTTGGAAGCCAATTCAAGGCCTCAGTCCAGCACCACCATCAGCTGCCACTACCACCATAGTATTTGCATCGTGCAGTGAGAGTTGACAGGTGAGTAAGAAACTCCTTTAAACTTTTTGTTTGTCAAAATGGGCATTAAAGCAACAGACATACGGCTATCACTGTCGCTTCTCGTTTAGGTAAACTTGCTTATTAAGTAGCTAAATGTTAACGTTAGTTTGATTCAAAACGATGGGGGTTGGGGAATTCGCGAAATCACACCGGAGGTCGCCATCTTTCATCGGGTCTTGCTGTTCTTGGCCAGCTAATTAGACGTGGCTGTTACTTTCTAGCCGAGTCAACTTTCAAACATAATAATATGGTGTGTTTACGGCTGAAATTCATTCTCATTCTTTCGTTTATTGCTATGTCTGAGCCTGGACGTCGCTCTCTAGCCGATTCAACTTTCAAACATAATAATATGGTGTGTTTACGGCTGAAATTCATTCTCATTCTTTCGTTTATTGCTATGTCTGAGCCTGGACGTCGCTCTCATAAAGGCCGCATATTGCTCAGTGACAGTCTCGCTATGCTTGGCCCTTGGCATGGCATGAGAGCTGCAGTCTTTCTCAGCTGTCAGCCACTAAATACACCTGCACTGCGTCCACACCATAAGTTGAAGTGTTTCATTAGTAAAGTTGAGTCATACAAACACGTCTCAGTTGTGCTGTAGCCTTTGTGGATGGGTAGGAGGACTTGTTTTAATGCTCCCACGGGGCATCTCCAAGATTCTTGGTGTCAGTCCTCCACCAGCGGTAACCTACCGACTAAAAATAAAGCTCTTGGTTCACTGATGCATTTTTCACTGGTGGGGTTGGACCGCGGGCTTATTTTGGATCAACAAAGCAGCATTTGGGCAATAAATCACCTCTTGTGTATGTGCATGGTGGAAACAAGGAGCAGGATTGGGCAAAGCCTCTGTTTTGGTCTAGGCTTCGTCTAGACCTTGTGATTGACTGCAGAGGAAATGGCATGTACTGTGATTAGGTTCAGTACTTTTATGGGATGTGTCATGACAAACTCCACTGTGATTACTGTCTGCCTTGCAGTACATGAGTACCAAGACCTGGTTACATACAGCTCATTTATTTTTAAAAGCTTCTAATGTTGCAAGGTAGAGTTTGTGGTTGTGAAAAGGTGTTGACTTGGTCTAAAATTACAACGTGCTTATGTAATTGTTACTCTCCAATAAAAGTCTTTAGTTGTCTCAAATGTCAGTGGTTCTAGATCAAAGTGAAAAGTGCCATGTTTTAAGTTGAATTGTAGAGATTTGCTGTAAGTGTCTTTACAATGTCTTCATGTTGAGGGATTTTCTGTGATTCATCAAAATCCCTCATGAAGTTAAAAAATGAAAACCAACCATTGGGTTGACACAGCCTTTACATGAGAGTAGTATTATAGTTTAAGAAACACAACAAATTGTCCGGATTTGTGGCAGAGGAGCATGCAGTCATTTTATTCTATTTTTAACAGAAGAGGTCTGGTTATCAGTTGAGCTTTGGCTGAGACCAGAGCTGCAACAGCTAGTCAGTCAGTATCGCTATCATGTTGTTCATTTTTCCAAAAATGAGTATTTGATGGTTTGATCTTTATAAATATCAGGATTTGCTGCTTTGCCTGGTCATACATGATAGTAAATAAAATGTTGTAGCCTTGGGCTTGGGAAAATCTGGTGGGCATTTCTCACTTAAAAAAAAACTTTAAAAACATTTTATAGACCAACTATTACTTGAATAATCAAGAAAATGCATTGGCTGATTAATCCAGGTCACAAAAGTTAAATACACATTTTAGGGGTGGGTGAGAAAAACGGATTCACATAAGAATCATGATTCTCAGTTCTGTGATTTTGTTAAAGGTCCCCATGGCTAGTACATTTTAGCGGGCAAATGACTTTTGAGTTTACTGTTGAGAAAAGTTGATCATACAACGTTCGGTTTGATAGCTGACTAGAACTGATGAAGAGGTGTGTTTATATTAACTGCAGTGGCATGATGCTCACATACACCTTGTATGGGAATCGGTACGTGGCTCAAGGGTCACCAACTTTACAGCCACTCCATTCTTTTCTTGCTTTGTATGCAAACACAGCGAGGGCCTGTGTCAGAGACAGGTGCCTGATTGGGCAGATAACAAGGTGTTTCCACTGATGTTTGGACTTGGTGGGGTCTCCCTCCCTTTCCCTGTGAAAATATGTAATGTTGAAGTGATCAGTCAGTGAGATTGCTGGTGCTAAACCTGCTGCCTTATCCAAATTTGAGGGACTTTTAACCCAGGGGAAGTTCTTGGACTTTAGTACCTGGGAGCAAAAAATTCCAGGAACATTCTTATGCAAAATGCAGCTGCAGTCCTGCTATAACTGCATGGATCAGGGCTATGGCAAGATGTATTAAAAATGTATTATGATATTGTATTTCTTGCATCACCGAAGATTTATACATTTTTATTGGTACCTGTGTCACTTTTCTTGAATTTAGTATTTCTGGCAGCTTTATGCTTTGCTCAACTGGTTAAATGGGAAGTTAGTTCGTGCTGAAAACAAGGACACCATTCATACGGAGTACAGACAGTTATAAAGGTGCATAACAAAAGGTAGTCAGTAAAAACTATCCAAAATGAACCTGAACCCCAGAGAGTTAAAACCAAATGTGATCTCTGTTTTTCTAAATTACTATTTTATGCAAAATCCGCTACTGAAAGCAAGTCACATTTGTATGGACATGTATATTTTGCGTAAAAAATCTCCACCTGCATATGAATTAAGAGCTTCCTGTCCAGATGCAGGAGGTGTTGATTTTTAAAAGTCAGGCTTTTCCAAAGTGACTATCGGACAGGGCACTGACCTTTGTCATTTTACATGTGTTACAACTGATATTGTGCTGCAGTTACGTGGTAAACATTTGCTCTCGAGTCTCACTTGTTTGTCCCCTCCGCCCCCTGTAGCTTCCTTGGTGACACAGAGACTTCTCCCTGAGGAGCCAAGAAGCAGACGGCTCATGACTTCTGACCAGGACACGAAAGTTGTAGCTGAACCACAGGTGCAGCAAGTACAAGAGGCAAAAGAGAACTCTCATTTGGTGAGTTTTACATACAGATGTTTTTGCATCTGCATCTTTCACCCTAAAGTTTCATTTACTGCTGTGAGGATCCAGTTTTTGTAGATGTAGAAGTCTTTTAGAATTTTGCAAAATACTATTGTAAACGGTCAAAATAAATCTTCAGATTATTCTAACCTAAATTTTTTTCCTGAGGGTGACAAATTATATTGACAGTATTAGGAATAGTATTCTAGTGAATAATTTTTCAGTTACGTTAATGAAAATTGTTGCCAGTACAGATGTTATTTCCAAATCATGATCAGCCGAGTTAGGTTAACAATAGGGCTGGGCAAGTTAACGCGTTAACTTCATTAATGCCGACAATTATTTTATTGCGCATTAATGCAGTTTATTTTTATTATTATTTTCAAAATTCGTTGCTCACTGGCTCTGAATACACATACAGACAAACCATGGGTCACAGGAAGGGTGGGATGTTGATCACTACTGGCTTGAGATGGGCGTCATCACGCGTCTTAAGAGCATTTGGGGTGGGTGTAAGACCGCTGCAGTGCTCACGTCAACTGGAACTGAATAGAAATGGCGGGGACAGAAAAATGGAGAAAGGTAAAGGATTCTTACGTGGACATTTTTAATTTAAATCTCTTCCGCACAGCGGAGTTGATAGAACCAAAGTCATTTGTAGCCACTGCAAAGCTGAATTTTCTTATCACCGGAGTACTTCGAGTCTGAAGTATCACTTAAATGCAATACACACAATTGATGCCAGCAAGTCACCCACCCAAACAAACAGTGGAGGGAGGCTTTGGCAGACTACGTTGGCTGTAGCGTGTGGGGGAAGGATAGATAAACAGAAGCAAGCAAAGCTAAC